GGCGGGATTCGTGCAGCAAAGTCTCCGCAAATCTCTCTCTCTCTCTCTCTCTGGATTCGTGCAGCAAAGTCTCCGTGGATCTCTCTCTCTCTCTCTCTCTCTCTCTCTCTCTCTCCGTAGTTGGGAAAAGAGAACGAATCTTACCGCATTCGAGCGGAAGATTCATTCTGAATTTGCTTCGCATGTACCAGGCGCGCTCGAAACCACGGGGACGAGAGAGAGAGAGAGAGAGAGAGAGAGAGAGAGAGAGAGAGAGAGAGAGAGAGAGAGAGAGAGAGTGGGCGGGATTCTTGCACTCTCTCTCTCTCTCTCTCTCTCTCTCTTTCTCTCTCTGTGTCTGGCTCCCACTTTTTTTTTTTTTTTTATGTCTCTGAAACTGAAACGGTATTCACCAGTTCACAGTAGCTGATGCAGATCCCAGGGCTCGATCCCTAGTCCCCACCTTACCTGTGTACAGTATCTGTGTTGACCCCGAGAGTTGAACCCGTGACGTGTGTATTTGTAACAGTTGGTAGACTGTCGTAGGGTCCGTAGGTAGCAGGGGTTCGATCTGGAGATCTGTCGAGTAGAAGTCTTAGAGAGTTCTAGATGTTGTAGTTGCTACAGTCCTGAAGGGTCAAGGTCGTAGCTGCTACAGTATTGAAAGGCCAAGTCCACAGCCTTCCGGAAGGTCCTAGCAGTGGCCTTTCGAAGTTGTTCACATTTAGACTGAGGCAAGTGGGCAAGTGGGCAAAGTGGGCAAGTGGGCAAGTGGTGAGCCCAACTGCAGTACGTCGACACTGCAACGGCGTTGAGTTCGCAGTGCAAACCCATGCAGTCAGCAGTACCGGTCCCAGTCAGTCCTAGTCCAGTCAAGCAAGTACCGCATGGGACTGTGTGCACCACGGGCATGGGAAAGGGCCAGACCAGCGAGCTGCAGAAGTATAAAATAAGAGGCAGCGCCCAGTCATTCATTCATTCCTGCATGACCCATGCGGAAGCGCTGCCATAAGCGACTTGTGCGAGGTGGTCTGCAGTGAGCCCAAAGACGAAGTGGGCGAGAGAGAAGGAGCTTAGCCATAGTGATAGGGTAGTAGCGGCCATAGCCGCCATAGCTGTAGATAGAGTTCAGTGTGTGTGTGTGTGTGTGTGTACAGAGTATCGCGTGTGGGATATCCAGGGTGATCCTGTGTGTGCGAACAGAGAGTTGTGTGGGCGCTGAGTTGCCAAAGCCATTGAAGTGAACTTGTACCTGAACTGTGTTCTTGGCTACCATATCTCTGTCGCCAGTTTGCTGCGCACCTGTTTGCATGCATGCGAAGTGTGGATGAGAGCGAGTCTGATTGCATTGGTATCGGAGCTGGTACCCGCTATTCCACGCGCGACGTCGTGTGGCGCAGGGAGCTATGCGCCGTAGCTCAAGTGGCCATCGAGAGAAGAAGTCCGCCGTAGCGGACCTGGAGGTTGAAGAAGCCGCCGCGCGCACCTGCAGAGAAGACCACGACAAAGAAGAAGAAGAAGAGAGAGAGAGAGAGAGAGAGAGAGAGAGAGAGAGAGAGAGAGAGAGAGAGAGAGAGAGAGAGAGAGAGAGAGAGAAGGTTGGTTAACTACGTACCTGCGTGAAGACATCGCTATGGCGAGAAAGAGAGAGAGAGGGAGAGAGAGAGATGAGCGATACAAGTTTGGTTGTCACGTACCTGTGAAGTGTGTCGTGCAGTTCCACGAAGTGAGAGGCGGCCATAACCGCGGAGCTCGACCACGGAGTAACGAAGAGAGTGAAAGGGAGGACAGAGGAGGAGACTGAGGAAGGTGAAGGAAGCTATAGCGGAGGAGGTGAAGGGAGAGACAATCAAAAAAAAAAAAAAAAAAGAGAGAAGACAGATGGGGTGTAGAAGAAGGAGGCGAGGTAGGGAGAAGGAAGGAGAAGGGTGGCGACGAAGTTGAAGCCGGCCGCCATAGTCGGAGTGGACCGGAGGAGTTGACCGGGAGTTGATTGGAGGTTGACCGGAGTTGACCGGGGGTTGACCAGGGGCTGGCTGCAGTGTTGACCCAGCGTTGACCAGGGCGTTGACCACAATTTTGACCAAGCTGGAGCCGGTATAATCTCACCAAGCCTTCAACCTATCCCCTCGCCCTATGGATGTGCACACACACTGTGGTACTTGCTGAGTCAAGTCTGTCTGTCTCTTCTTTCTGCATTGAGTCTCTTCTGTCCAGGTGTTAGGAACTCTGTGGATGAAGGATAGGGCCTTGTTGACCAAACCCACACGGGCTGAGTAGGGCTAAAGACTGTGTCTGACGACTCGACTGTCTCGGAGGACACGAACCCTCCCAAGGACCGGTACTGATCGGCGGGTTGCTCGGTGTGGCACGGTAGGCCCAAAATCCGAGCTGTGGGCTGCACAACAGGCCGTCTAAGTCTTGAGAAGACCTGCTGATCGCGTCGTCCTGTCTACGACGTTAAATAATTCCTGAAGAGTTACGGGGGATCTCCTTAAATGCCTCCTGATCAGCAACAGGTCTTGTCGTGACAGCCTTACAGTAGGTCCAGGCTAGAGATCCTAGTTGATAGGATCCTGCTCGGATTTTGTAAGTCCTTAGATTGAGTCAGTCGGTTTGTCAGTCAGGGGGGAATAGAGTCTAAGTGGTGAGGAGTGGAACAGTTATCCGGTTGTGCACCAGACACCATGGTTGACACCCGTAGTGGGAAGAGTATTGTTCCCCAATCCGAGGCCGAGCAGGCCCGGATCGCCGCCATTTTGAGGGAGAGAAAAGAGAAGAAAGAGCTCCTCAAGCATGCGAAGCTAAAAGCAATCGCAGAGGAGCAGGCGGCGAAGAAGAAGCAATTAGAAGAGGAGATGTTGAGGTTTCAGAAAGAGAAGATGATGATGTTACAGCGAGAGGAAGAAGATAAGAGAAAGGTTGTCGGGGAAGAAGCAGCAGCAGAAGAAGAGGAGGTAGAAGAAGAACCTCTTGAGAGGAGGCGTAGGGAAGAGAGAGGAGAAGCAAGTGGCATGAAGGGAGAAGACGCCTGGATGGAGAAAAAGATCCGTGAGTGGGTGGCTAATTTATCGTTAGGGGAGGATGAGGAGGCATGGTTGTACGTGCCGCAGGAGAAGAGAGAAGCGTTTGCCAGGGAGTTGGAAGCGATAGAAGATCCCCTGGAACGCCAGACAACAGAAGATGCAAAGAAATTGGAGTGGAAGTTGCGAATGATGAGGGAGAAGAAGAGGAGGAGAGAGGAGGCTAACAGGGTGGCGAAAGAAGTAGAGAGGGTTCAAGCCTGTAGACAGGAGGTGCAGGCTCAAGCTGAGGTCCCCGCCAAATTAGATAAGATTTTGGGGTACCTAGAGGTTTTGAGCAAGGCCTGGATAGAAGAGCATCAGGCCGTTAAGGGTCAAGATGTGACACTTCACGCCATCCGATCCGGTTTCAGAGAGTTTGCACGCGACATGGTGACCCATGTCGGGTCCGAGGTTAAAAGGCTAAAGGAGGGCGTAGATAAGTTCTGCACAGGCGCCATTGAAAGCGCCAAAGTGGTGGCCACTGCAGAGGCCACAGCGCGTCAACGCAAAGAGTCTGTAAAGCTTAAGCTCCCTGATGCCTATAGTGGGAAAAAGGATGATAGTTTTGACAACTGGGAGGCCAGCGTCAACACTTATGTGTATTTACAGCATATCGCCCCCGAGGAGCAGGTCCTCGTTGCCTTCCATGCGTTGAAGGACGAAGCGGCAAGCTTCGCCAGGTCCTTAGCGCGCGCCGCAGATTGTGAGCACAACATGATTGCTCATTTGCGGCTCACCCCTCTCTCCACTTTTCTCAAACTCTTACGTGAGAGGTTCGCTGAGGTCACGAGAGGCGTTAGGGCCTCCGATAAACTCCAAACCATCCACTCGCGACAGTGGAGGAGTGCGAAAGCACTGACGACTTGGTAGATGTCCCGGACCATGGGGTCACTGAGACCCAGTTGGTCCAGCTGTTCTATCGTGCCATGCCAGAGCCCTTGAGAGGGCATTTCTTTGACAAGACCCAACAACCCAACATCACATACGATGCATTGAGTAGGGAAGTGGTCTTGTTTGAGGCCAAGTCCATGCCAGTTTCCACTTTCTGGCACAAGGACTTAGATAAGGGTAAAAAGTGGAAAGGTCGTACCATCTCTATGATCCTTACTTTAGATGAAGGTGATACTGATGAGGTCCCCTACAGTCAGATTGAGTGGGGACTCGAGGAGGAGGACAATAGCATGGGTCAGGGGAGGTCCTATGCAGTTGTCGCGGCTGGAGGGAGGCAGCAAGGTAGAGGAGGAGGCCAGGGCCAAAGGGGCCAGGCCATGGGAGGCCGAGGATAGGGCGCACAGGGGGTTGGCAGTCAAGGGAACCATCAAGCGGGAGGTAGGGGTTAAGGTCCCCCGCCAAATCGTCAAGGTCCTAGTCGGTCCCCACAGCGACGAGGTAGTAGGTCACCTCAAAGGTCAGGAGGTTGGCACCCAGGTTGGCCACAAGGCTGGCCTTGGGAAGATTTGGGCCTGGACCAGAAAGTGTGGCAATAGCGAATGGAGCAGGGGCAGTGCATTTACTGTGGTGACCCTGCCCATATTATCAAATATTATCCTATGTATAGACAGGCTCGATGGGCTGCCCAGGAGTCAAAAGACAGCCGCCGGTAGGGGTTGCAACTGCCCCTACTATTTGGCCATGTGGGGAAGCGAGCGCGCGCGTACGGGAAACTCCCACACCACATGAGCCTTCGGCAAAGGTTGTAGGCCCGTGCCTAGTTGGCTGTCCAGAGACTGCTTGTGTCAGCGTCTCTCTAGGCACGTCCCTCACAGGCGTGGCAGAGGAATTGAAGGAGAGGATGCCTGCCTGGGCCAAGATGAAGAAAGACAATAAAGGGCAGCTAGTGTTAGTTGATGTAGAAGTTTTCAAGAGTAGAGTTGGGGCCCTTATAGATTCAGGGGCTACCTGTAGTTATATTAGCCGTAGGGCGCTGAAGAAGCTGAGGCGAGGATTGGAAGTCCAGAAATTGGAAGACCCCATAGTTAGTGTCCTAGCAGACAACCACACAATGCGTGTTGAGGACTACGTAGAGGGAGTCCAGGCGTATTCGCCTAGAGAAAGATGGGAAGGTGGAGAAAGTTTTCCATTCCCTGACTCTCCTCGTTCAGGATGACCTTCCTTTCGACATAGTCCTAGGTATGGACTGGGGAGAGGCAGCAGGGGCCGCACTCCACTTGAGAGAGCATGAGTGTAGGCTCCCTAGTCTGTCAGGTGAGGTTAAGACAGCCCGTCTGTTCCATGTGTCTGGAGTAGATAACTCCTTAGCACATTGCTGTCTCAGTGCTCCCGCGTTTGAGCGACTAGTAAGAAAGGAGCAATTAGAGGATCAGGTCTTCGTAGTGTATGTTAGACCTGCCACTGAGCCTAAGGAAGAGGATAGTTCCATGGATCCAGCCATTGCCAAGCTGCTGGAAAAGTTTAAGGACCTGACAGAGCCGTCGACAGGAGTAGTGCCGCGACCGATCCAGCATAGGAGAGAGACAGAGCTTGGCAGTAGAACTCCTAAGGGAGCAGTCTACAGGATGTCCCCTAGAGAGTTAGAGGAGTTGCGCAAGCAGTTGGACGAGCTCCTTGAGAAAGGCCCAGTTCGTCTCCTTTTGGAGCACCGTTACTGTTTGTCCCCAAGAAGGAAGGAGAGTTGCGTATGTGCATAGACTATAGGGGTCTGAATGCGATTACAGTTAAGAATGCTGAACCACTGCCCAGGATAGACGATCTCTTAGATCGGGTGCAGGGTTGCAGGTATTTCTCAAAGATAGACTTAAAGTTTCTCATCAGATAGAGGTCCATCCTGATGACAAGTACAAGACTGCATTCCGGACTAGATATGGGCATTACGAGTCCATAGTGATGCCCTTTGGACTGACCAATGCGCCAACTACATTTCGGCGATGTATGAATGATCTGTTTAGGCCTTGGTTAGATAGATTCGTCGTAGTGTATTTAGACGACATTTTAGTATTCAGTAGGACCCTCGAGGAGCACCACGGTCATTTGAGGCAGGTCTTGGAGAAGCTGAGAGAAGCTAACTTCAAGATCAATGCGAAGAAGTGCGAGTGGGCCAAGACACAAGTCCTGTACTTCGGCCACGTGTTAGACGGAGATGGCATGAAGCCTGAGGACAGTAAGATAGCGGCGATTAGAGATTGGCCAACGCCCCGCACGTTGACAAAGTTGCGGTCGTTCGTAGGCCTAACTAACTACTATAGAAAGTTCGTGAGGAAGTTCTCGACTATCGCCGCTCCCCTTCTTAGGTTGTTAAAGAAAGAGGCAATCTGGCAATGGGATAAAGACTGTACGTCTGCGCTAAAGAAGTTGAAGCGCGCATTAATAGAGTATCCTGCCCTCAAAGTAGCAGATCCATCCTTGCCATTTGTCGTCACCACGGACGCGAGTCAGTATGGTATAGGCGCCGTGTTACAGCAGGGCGACGACAATGGTTACAGACCCGTAGAGTTCATGTCAGCGAGGATGCCCTCAGAGAAGGTTGCTACCTCGACGTATGAGAGGGAACTCTATGCTCTCAGGCATGCTTTAGAACACTGGAAGCATTACCTGCTTGGGAGGCACTTCAAGGTGTATTCAGACCATGAAACGCTTAGATGGCTGAAGACCCAGGCCAAAATGACACCTAAGTTGACTAGGTGGGCCGCAAAGATAGACCAATTCGACTTTGAGCTCAAGCCAGTTAAGGGCAAATACAGTGTAGTTGCGGATGCTCTGAGTAGGAGATCAGACTACTTCGGAGCCATAGTTCACTATCTGGATTTAGGGAGTGACCTGCAAGAGAAAGTTAGACAGGCTTATGCACAGGACCCTATTTATAGTGACCTCCTCAAGAAAGTTAATGAGGCCCCAGAGACTGAGCCAGATTACCGCACTACACAGGGGTTGTTATTTGAGAAGACTAATGTCATAGACCGTCTTGGTGTTCCCACCAGCGAGGAGATCCGTAGTTTGATCTTAGGGGAATGCCACGACACAGAGGGACATTTCGGGTGGCAAAAGACTCTAGCTAATCTAATGCATGTGTATACATGGCCAGGAATGAAGAACGACTGCATAGAGTATGTCCGCAGTTGTAAGGTTTGCCAGAGAAGCAAGAGCACTACACATGCCCCTCTAGGTCTTCTTAGACCCTTGCCTATTCCTGATCAGCTAGGAGATTCAGTGTCCATTGACTTTATGGACACCGGTGTTAAGAGTAGGCACGACAAGAGCCAAGTCATGGTTATAGTCGATAGATTAGCAAGTATGCTGTTTTTGTTCCTTTGCCTGAAGAGGCACGAAGTTAGTCATTCAGAAGTTTTTCGATTTTTGGGTTAGTGAGCATGGCGTCCCATTGTCTATTGTTAGTGATAGAGATACACGTTTTACTAGCCAGAACTAGTAGGAACTGATGAGAGTCTATGGATCTAAGTTGTTGATGTCATATGGCCGCCATCCAGAGACTAACGGTCAGACAGAGCAGATGAACAAGATCCTGCAACAAGTTTTGCGCATGTACATTAGACCTGATCAGATCAATTGGGACGAGATGTTACCCAAGGTAGCCAGTGCATACAATAACAACGTGCATTTGTCCACCTGTCGCACTCCCAACGAGTTGCACAAGTCCTTTAGACCATGTAGACCGTTTGAGGGACTTAACCGGGATCAGATTCACAGGCTACCGCCTGGTACTAGGGAGTTCGCTATACATAACGAGAAAGAGATAGCCACTGTTGTTGAGAACCTCAGGAAGCCCAACACCGAATGATAGAATAAGCTAATAAGCACCGTCGCCCGTCGCAATTTCAGGTAGGCGACCTAGTTTGGGTCAAGTCTAAAGAGTTCGCTCCTGAGGAAAACATCTCGCAGAAGTTACTGCCCGCGTATAGAGGACCGTGGCCAGTTCTAGAAGTTAAGGGCATAGAGGATGGGCCGTCCTACACCATAGAGAAAAAAGGCAAAATCGAACGAATCTTCCGCTAGAACATGGAAATATACAATACTTCGTGTGTGTGTGTGTATGTTTGTGTGCGCTTGTGGGGGGTGGGGGGGCGACCCCGCCCCCACCAATCAATTAGTTAGAGCCTACGAGAGAGATCAGAAAGGTAAAGGTCCTGCCTTGGACTGAGTTATTCTCGGAGGACCTCGAATTTGGGCCGGCGGGAGTGAAATGGTATTCACCAGTTCGCAGTAGCTGATGCAGATCCCAGGGCTCGATCCCTAGTCCCCACCTTACCTGTGTACAGTATCTGTGTCGACCCCGAGAGTTGAACCCGTGATGTGTGTATTTGTAACAGTTGGTAGACTGTCGTAGGGTCCGTAGGTAGCAGGGGTTCGATCTGTAGATCTGTCGAGTAGAAGTCTTAGAGAGTTCTAGATGTCGTAGCTGCTACAGTCCTGAAGGGTCAAGGTCGTAGCTGCTACAGTCCTGAAGGGTCAAGGTCGTAGCTGCTACAGTATCGAAAGGCCAAGTCCACGGCCTTCCGGAAGGTCCTAGCAGTGGCCTTTCGAAGTTGTTCACATTTAGACTGAGGCAAGTGGGAAGTTGTTCACATTTAGACTGAGGCAAGTGGGAAGTTGTTCACATTTAGACTGAGGCAAGTGGGCAAGTGGGCAACTGGTGAGCCCAACTGCAGTACGTCGACACTGCGACGGCGTTGAGTTCGCAGTGCAAACCCATGCAGTCAGCAGTACCGGTCCTAGTCAGTCCTAGTCCAGTCAAGCAAGTACCGCATGGGACTGTGTGCACCATGGGCATGGGAAAGGGCCAGACCAACGAGCTGCAGAAGTATAAATCAAGAAGCAGCGCCCAGTCATTCATTCATTCCTGCGTGAGCCATGCGGAAGCGCTGCCATAAGCGACTTGTGCGAGGTGGTCTGCAGTGAGCCCGAAGACGAAGTGGGCGAGAGAGAAGGAGCTTAGCCATAGCGACAGGGTAGTAGCGGCCATAGCCACCATAGCTGTAGATAGAGTTCTGTGTGTGTGTGTGTGTGTGTGTGTACAGAGTATCGCGTGTGCGATATCCAGGGTGATCCTGTGTGCGCGGACAGAGAGTTGTGTGGGCGCTGAGTCGCCAAAGCCATTGAAGTGAACTTGTACCTGAACTGTGTTCTTGGCTACCATATCTCTGAGTTTTGAGTGGGCGCTTGTCGCCTGTTTGCTGCGCACCTGTTTGCATGCATGCAAAGTGTGAATGAGAGCGAGTCTGATTGCAGAAACGTTTTTTTTTTTTTTTTTTTTTTTTCACAGTGAAGTACCGGTAGCCTAAGGTTCGGCCAAGTTCGCTAACCGGTCGGTCCAGGCTCGGCTTCGATAGCTGAGAAAGTGGTGTCTTCCTTGTTTATATCGAAGGCCTTTATATCGCGTCTGTATCTTCTCTGGACACTGTCTTCGAAGGCCTTGATATCGTGTCTGTATCTTCTAGGCCAAGTGCTGTTCCATTTCCTTGTTTTATCATATTTATTGTCTTATGGCCAGGGTAACCAGCGTTCAGGACGGGCCGAACGCCCGAACCCGAACGCCCGAACGTACGGGACCCCTTGGGGATGCATTCGGCCGTTTGGGCCGAATGCGGACCAAAAAAAAAAAAACAATTTCAAAAAATCTGAAAAAAAAACGATGTTATGAAGAAAAATAAAATAAACAACATTTGCCTGAGCACTACATCCAAATTCCTTACCAAATTTGAAATAAAAATAAAATACAAAAAATAAAACTACTAAGAAAAATAAGAAAAAATGAAAAGAGAATTAAAATTAGTGAGTGAGCGAGCACGTTTTCGACACCGCCATCTTTGACGATTTTCATTTTCTTTTAAGCATAGCCAAATGCCCTGAAAATTTACAGGGGTCTAGTCCCACCTACAGCGTTGAGTTTTCTCAATGCTGAGCTGTCTATCACGTGTGGCATGGTGGGACGGAGCTCTGCCGTTGATGTATTGCGAATCTAACGGTACCAAAACACAGGAGAATAACCTATTAGATTTAGTCATTTTGTAGAATTTTTCGTTGATGTGAAATCCGTTTTGTAGTATGCGTTGGCCCTTTTGGTTTGGGCGGGAAGCCATTTTCCATTGAGAAAACTACCCTACCAAGGGTAGGGTACATTTCTCAACTACAGTGCCTTTCCTTTTTTTTGTTTTTTTTAGACCTCATTGCATCCTGAAACGGAGGAACTCTGACAGCTGTGTTTGGCTGTCTGGCATCAARCTCGTTTCCTTCTTTGGGCAATGAATGCATTTGGCCATCCACGTCGTCCCTGTCCATTTTACAAATGGTGACCTCCTGTCCCCTCACCACGGGGAGTATCCCTTTTTCACGGAGACGTTCACTCTGACTGTTCCAGACATGTTTTATTTCTCCGAGTTACGTTATAAAAAATAAGGAGAACAGCTGTTTCTAGCATTTTTTTCAGTTTTTTTTATTTGCAAGGAACATGAGTATGGATGAAGCACAGAAATCGAGAATGCAAAATCACACTGAAGTCCAAGTATTCAAATCCAAAGCAGATAGCACATGGAACCGAGTAACCATCCAATTGAGAATGATACAGAAGAATCATGAGTCAATGTCCATGCCCATCAGGGCAACACCAACAGCATAACCCAAATGTAGCTCTCTCTTGTGAATGGCGCCAGGCGCCCTATCTACTCTACAGCCTATCCTACAACTACAGCAATGAACAGCAACCAGACAACTTGACTACCAGCGAGTGATGATGTCAACACTAAT